ATACTATATGAGTGTTTATAGTATATTTTCTATTAAATATTTCCTAGGAACATTCATTTACCAGATAATCAATAATCATTGTCCGTAATACACATACAATTCAAATCATCTACCCACAACCTCTCCACAAGATCTCGTCCTTCTGACCTTTACATCTCTTTACACAGATGTGCCTCATTCAAACATTCCTTTGTAGTTCTTTCTGTAGCATTCTGCTATTCCATCCCACTAAAAATCCGCCATGCATCATCCTTATCCACATTTAAATCTCTTATTCCAATTCCTCTTCACAATCTAATCAGCTGAATATATATATATATATATATATATATTATGTAATAACGCTTTAATTTTCTTTATACATTATTTTTTAATCTTATTTTTTTTCTGTGTTGAACGTGAATTTCCATCATCACTCACAAAGCATTGTAAATAGGTAAAATTTGTTTTTCTTAACTTCTAATTTTCCAATTCAGGAGATTGTATTTCTTTGAAATGTATTTTATTTTCTACTTATCTTCGACACATTCCTCTCAATGTATATATACTTTATTTTATTTTTTCTTCTCCTAATCTTTACTTGTATTCATTTAAACATCTTAGGAAACATAAGTAAACCTTTTTTTTTTTTTTACAATTATTTCATTGTATATCAACGTTATTTTTTTTTTTTAGTTTTTATATTCCATCACTACAATCATTTGCCTATAAAATTGATTTTGCGTTCCTTTCTAATTTCATTTAGTGATTATTATGGTATTATTTTAGCTCCAATATTGTACTATTGAAACCCTATTACCCTGTTCACGTTAATATGTCCGAAGAGCTATTATACTTAATTTATTACTAGTATTTTAATTATTCTTTATTTTAATAGGTCTATTTGGACTTACGATATCGAACTTTGGAGCTCTATTAAACGATCTAATTCCTCTTGTATCCAATTCTAACAATCCAAAATCCTTCATAGAATCCTCAATACTTCCTACTTTGTCACAAATAAAATTATCCATAATGACCTTAATGTACCTTATGTTTCCGATTCAGCTCAATCCAGATACCTATCCTCTCATAGTAAAATTCTGAAACCTCTAGTTTCTAACATTCTGAAAAAAAAGATGGCCTCGAGACCTTCTATTACAGAACCTATAATTGGGTTGCAACCAATGGGTAGTTTCTCTTCATGTTGTACATGCCATGTTACAAATTTCAAATTTCAATAAATATGTTTAAAAAAATGTTTTCTTAAGCATTTGAAAGGAGAAATAAGAGTATATCTATGACTTTTCTAGAGACACAAAAGAAAAGAGACTATGTGAAGAATGCGATTAAATATCTGGATGCCTTTGCAATGCCGTTTGTTTGTGCTTCAGAGCAATGCCTTCCTCAAACCTGCACAAATATTTTTAAAGCTACTTTCTCTCAGACAATTTTTTTTTTTTTTTTCTTACCCTCCAAAATGTTTATTGAAACAAATTACATATATAGTATACAATATACAATATATACATGTGATAAATTCCTTCCACTGCCCGAGGGGATCTCTCAGACAATAAACAAATATTTTAACTTTATAACAAAATAAAATAGGTAAAATAACGGGAAGAAATAACAAATATGGTCCACGGAGGTAAAGTAGGTATAATTTACGTGGTGTTTTTTTAACTCTCGGGAACGGATTTACTAACTATGAAACAGATTTTAATAGCACAAAGTTATGGAAAATTAGTTTCCTCTAAACAAATACAAAAATGGACATGTTGTTTTCTACCTGCGGGGTACAGGAATTACATTATCAAAATAATAAGAATTATGCAGGATAGGATTGAAAAGAATAGAGTGACATACGGAAAATTTTTCCTGGATGAAAATGTGTTAATGTTAAAAGGTAAATTAACAATTAATATATATATTTATTAAAGGCAGGAGTGACAATATATTAATAATCAAACCGCATATTTTATTACAATAATCCTAATTTATTTGTTATTTTACATCAACATTTCAGCCCTTAGGCCATTTTCGTGGGAAGAAACCTTCAACAAATAGGACAATCATCACAAACTAATTATATTCGCTAATTGACTATTTTCATTCAATACTTTATTTTACATAAATATTTTAATAATTTAAAATATTATGTACTGAATTGTCCTTGTCAACTTCATCTAATTAGTCATTCACTAAAACCTTCCTCTACAAGGTTATGTTTATTTCAAACCTCATTACATTGTTAACAAATCCAAATTAAAATTTACATTATTAAAACTGTCTTTATGTATTTCCACGCTCATACCAGACTGAAATACTAGAAACCGCCAGACGTTTTCGACTACTGCAGCACTTAATAGATCAACTCTCTAAACTTCCAACTATATACAAAAGACTCATATATATTACTATAATAAGGCCTATTTGGACTTACGGGATCGAGCTTTGGGGCTCTACTAAACCATCAAATTCCTCTCGGATCCAATCCCTACAATCCAAAATCCTTCGTAAAATCCTCAATTCTCTCAACTTCGTCACAAATAAAATCATCCATAGCGACCTTAATGTACCATATGTTCCCTATTTGTTCAATTCAGATACCTATCCTATCATAATAAACTTCTGAACTATCCGAACTCTCTTTTTCCAATCTTGCTTCCTCTTCTATTCCTGATAACTCTCGTCGTCTGAAAAGAAGATGGCCTCGGGACCTTCTAATATAGAAATATAATTGCAGTGCTACCAATGGGTAGTTTCTCTTCATGTTGTACATGTCATGCTACTTGTTTCATATTTACTTGTTGTATTTTATCATTTAATACAGTTGTAAATTTCAATAGGAAAAAAAAATATTCTAAACTAGTTCATAAATATTATGTTAAAATAAATACAATCACAACCATATTATTTGTTCACTACTTAAAAAAAAATATTATATTTTTGACTATCAGTTTTATAACTAAATACACCTTTTTTTGTTTTAACATATACTATTCTAAAAAAATATACTTAAAGAGGTACACCACTCATTATTTTTGAATTTCCATACATTTATAAATTAATTTCGCTTGTTATTTACGCATAATTCTGACCTATCTGCTCACAATCTGCTTTGAAATAAAGAGTATAATTTATATTATCTGTAATACAAAATATTGTGATCATATATGCGGTTTTATTATTAATATATATATTAAATAAACTAAAACTCTACTACATGACACGTTTTACCAAAAGATAAATTAAATTTACAGTACAATGATCAATATGGATTCTAATTATAATGCATAAAATATTATACAACGAAAAACAGTTAATACACTATAGTATTATAAATATTGTTAAATATTTTTATCTTGGATTGACAAGGTTGTATCTGATATTTTTGGCTAAAATATTGTTAAAGCTTCTGAAGTTTCCTGAAGATAAGATGATTTTTTAAATTTTAAATTCTTGCGCTTTAACCTAAGAGAAAATCTTTTATTTTCATTAATTCTGTCGATGCCAAAATTTTAACTACACTACGATATAGTCTGTATGAAAGCAATGTTAAAAAAAGTTAAACTACCATCATATTAAGAACTTGGAACAAAATTAATCAGAAATGATAAGAAATAAATCGTAAGCACTTCTAATTTTAAACTCGTATTTCTTAATATTAAAATTTAATCTTAAGATAGAACCTTGTCAAACCAAGGTAACGTTATTATGATCAGAACTATAAGGATGAACAGACGGATCTACGGAGGGGAGGGGGGCTTTCGGGCTGAAGTCCCCCAAAATGATAAAATATAACCATGTTTTATTGAAAAAAAAAATACTAAAAACTATCTTTTAAAGTATTATTTTTCGTGTAATTACATTTAATAGGACTTCGGGAATCAATTAAATACCATGTCATACAGGTAGTTAGTTTCCTTTTTTTTTCGAATTCATTATAATTATATATATATGAAAAAAAAACTTTCGGGCTGAAGCCCCTCTCCCCTAAATTAAATCCTGGATCCGCTAGTAGTTGGGATTATAAATTATGTATGCTGTAAGTAATTTTTATATTTCATTTTTGGGTAGCCAACTCGAAAAGTTAAGCAAATAAGATTAGAGTACATAAAAAAGCCAAAGATGGCAATTATATTTTCGACATATTACAACAATATATTTTTTTTCTTTCAATAACACAAATATAAAATAGATAGCAAGTAAAAGTACTACGAATGTGAAAAAAATTGTAATCCTGGTTTTCAACGAAAATGCGTCTTTCAAGATCCCCCTGAGTCCAAATAATCAGGTTGAAAGCGACAAAGAAAGGCGAAGCTAAAATGAATATTTCAGTATATGTAAAGGCAAGAATTTCGGGGAATCTCTCTTCACATCTGGTTCTTCTTAAACAACGTATTCTACGAATTTACACTGCCTCCTGACACAGTAATGTTTATTTGCATCATATTCAATTGTCACCTCTATGTAATTACTTAAAATAACAGCACTACTTGATGAAAATTAATTTTTTTTTTTAATTCATCTTTGTTTCTTAAAAACGCTTTTTTTTTCTTTTTTTTTTTTTATAAATTTTAAGATTGGTAAAAAAAGATAGGTATAGATGTTGGATATACGGAAGTAGATCGAATATATTTATTTTCATATCCTTTATTTTATAACTGTTGGATTTACATCCATAATATTGTTGCATATATATTATTTGGTATTATATACCATATATTTATTATTTGCCTTATATACTGTCCTAGCCACTCTCGAAGATGACATTATCTATATCTAAAGTTCACGTGCTTGAATACGCTCCCCGCTCACTTGCTCTGGCGACTTCACGGCTAACAGAGAGAGAGAGAGAGAGAGAGAGAGAGAGAGAGAGAGAGAGAGAGAGAGAGAGAGAGAGAGAGAGAGAGAGAGAGGAGAGAGAGAGAGAGAGAGAGAGAGAGAGGAGAGAGAGAGAGAGAGAGAGAGAGAGAGAGAGAGAGAGAGAGAGAGAGAGAGAGAGAGAGAGAGAGATGAGAGAGAGAGAGAGAGAGGAGAGAGAGAGAGAGAGAGAGAGAGAGAGAGAGAGAGAGAGAGAGAGAGAGAGAGAGAGAGAGAGAGATGAGAGAGAGAGAGAGAGAGAGAGAGAGAGAGAGAGAGAGAGAGAGAGAGAGAGAGAGAGAGGAGAGAGAGAGAGAGAGAGAGAGAGAGAGAGAGAGAGAGAGAGAGAGAGAGAGAGAGAGAGAGAGAGAGAGAGAGAGAGAGAGAGAGAGAGAGAGAGAGAGAGAGAGAGAGAGAGAGAGAGAGAGAGAGAGAGAGAGAGAGAGAGAGAGAGGAGAGAGAGAGAGAGAGAGAGAGAGAGAGGAGAGAGAGAGAGAGAGAGAGAGAGAGAGAGAGAGAGAGAGAGAGAGAGAGAGAGAGAGAGAGAGAGAGAGAGAGGAGAGAGAGAGAGAGAGAGAGAGAGAGAGAGAGAGAGAGAGAGAGAGAGAGAGAGAGAGAGAGAGAGAGAGAGAGAGAGAGAGAGAGAGAGAGAGAGAGAGGAGAGAGAGAGAGAGAGAGAGAGAGAGAGTGAGAGAGAGAGAGAGAGAGAGAGAGAGAGAGAGAGAGAGAGAGAGAGAGAGAGAGAGAGAGAGAGAGAGAGAGAGAGAGAGAGAGGAGAGAGAGAGAGAGAGAGAGAGAGAGAGAGGAGAGAGAGAGAGAGAGAGAGAGAGAGAGAGAGAGAGAGAGAGAGAGAGAGAGAGAGAGAGAGAGAGAGAGAGGTTACGGTGGTTATAGTGTTCTATAAGTTGGCTCAGTGTTATTTAATATGGTTTTAATATTTCTAGTTAACTTTCCTGATCAATTTCTGTCAGAAAAGTCTCCTTTAACACTTTTTTAGTGAAATCATATGAAAATATATAGAAATCAAGATCACTTTAGTCTCTCAGAGAGAAGATAAAGAAGCAATTAGAACAACCTTAATGTGTCTTTTTTCACTGGTTAATATACTTTACTTATTTAATATTGTAAATTTAGCTAAATTGGAGTGTGTTTATTGTTTTTAGTTATTATAATTTCCACAATTTTATTATTAGATATAACAGTTTACTAACCTATAACCTTAATATAATTGACTTTACTTACACATATTTAGATTAATAAGTTCATCTATACTATATAATTATACTTATAACCCCTTTTATTTTTAACACTTTGGATTTAATGTTTGTTAACTATATATATTATATGCACACATTTTATTATTAGATTTAAGAGTCTACTAACCTATAACCATAATATATTTTACTTTACTAACATACATTTAGATTAATAAGTTAAGCTATACTATATAATTATACTTATAGCCTTTTTTATTATTAACACTTTAGATTTAATGTTTATTAACTATATATACTAACATATATTTTATCCTAACCTATTACATTTCTATTCATTATATTTTATCCTAACCTATGGTTTTTATATATGCTTTTTAACAATTGTGCATAATTAAATGTTTGGACTGGTTGATATGCTTTAATCAAGTCAAACTATTATTATTTTATACACTATGGTTAGTTTTAGATTTTTTGATAGCATTTTTAAACTTGTTTACCATTCTGTCTTCATGTTTGGTCTATGTTTTTAATCCATTTTAACTATTATTATTTTATTGAATACTTTGTTCTAACACTGGCATAGAGTTTTATACCTTTTCACTATTTTTTATGTATGTTTAGACTGCAATAAGTCAGATAGAAGTATATTATACTTATAGCAAAAGTCGATTATCCAAATTGATTGATTGAAATTTTCACTTGAGTAGTTTTATTCATCACTTTAATATTTAAGATCTCTAGTTCTCAACTTAACCTACTGCAAGTTGCTTCATTTGGTGCTTCTATTATATTTCCTCTTGAAGATTACCTTGCACCATATCCCCTATTACTACTGCAAGAAGTACAGAAATGGAGGAAGGTGAAAAACAAACTCCTTTTCAATCACGTAAAAAGCTGCAAGTGTCTCCAGCACCCGATAGAGCAATAGTAAATAAAGGAGCACTGACAAGTGGCGGGGAGAGCAGCGAGATAGGAGGAGCCAAAGAGACAACACACAGTCAGCCTAGTTCTTTGAATAGTAACAGCCAATGCAGCCGTGACGTCACCGAATCTTATCACGATACTTCGCAGCAAACAATTACATCGCCTGATCGGAAACATACGTGTCATGAGGCTATCGCAGAGAAGAATTTAAGTTATAAGAACGTAAATGAAGAAAACAGCCGAATAATAATAAAACTGCAAGAATTTTTACTGAATGCCCAAGCAAAACAAATAAGCAAGACGGCAGTTGAGACGGTTCTTGCGGCGGCACGTAAACTGGAGGATAACTGTAACAAGCTCATAATTGAAAATGCAGAATTAAACGGCGAAATAAGAGTATTAAGAAACCAAGCCTTCTGCCCTACACCTGTTACTTTCGAAACGCATGGTCTAGAGACATTAAAGCTGGTAATGAAGGACATAATAAATGAGGAGGTTAAGCCTCTCGTCACTGAAAAGGTCGATACCACGAAAAAACAATCTTATGCCTCTACATTAGTTGGGAAAAGACAGGAAACTCCTTTTGAACCTCCGAGTTCAGTGTACATAGCCCAGACAGACCTAAGCAGGGAAAAATATCCCACTGTACAGGAATTGAAACAGGGGATAAAGAAAAGTTTCACGCCTGCTAAAGAAGGAATCAAAATTAGAGGACTGGTAGAAACAACAAGGGGTGTAATAATTAGGACTCAAACAAAAGAAGAAGCTACGAGGCTCGCTCAGTCGGAGAGAATAAAAGAACTCGGCGCTAAAGTAAACTTGGAGAATAAACGCCTTCCAAGAATAATTATATATGATGTCCCAAGTGACCTGGAGCAAGAAAAGATTGTCGAACTGTTCTGGACCATAAATGCAAAAAAATTAGATCCTAATAAGCAGCACTTCAGCCTTGCCTTCAAGACAGGTCCAAGAGGAAGAGATACAGTTCATTGGGTGGCGGAAGTGTCCCCGGCGGTGAGAAATGAAATATTGGCAGAGGGAAGAATTTTCCTGGATTGGTCATCCTGCAATGTGAGAGACTGGGTGGCAGTGACACGATGCAATAAATGCCAGGGTTTTTCACATATAGAAAAATTCTGCCCCGCAACTGTCGTAAACTGCGGCTACTGTAGCGAAAGAGGACATGTTTCAGGAGACTGCCCAAAACAAAAGACCGGCGGACCGCCGAAATGCATAAACTGCAGTAAAACCAACTCAGCATCTAACCATCCGACAAACGACAAAGACTGTCCATCATACAAAAGAGCAATTGAAAGGTTAGTAATGAGGACAAAATATAACGACAATGAATAATAATTCTGCCCTCCGGATAGCCCAACACAATCTAAACAAGAGACCGCTCGCAATGTCAGAATTTAGACGCATGGCCTCACTAAATAACATAGATATTGGTGCTCTTCAGGAACCTCCTACTAAGAGAGGGAAGGTGTCTGGAACTGAACCGCAAGACCGCACCATTGCTAGCAATGGAAGTGGGTTACACGATGCACCACAGAGTGCAGTGGTGGTGTTTAATCATTGCCTTACAATTACATCACAGCCTGATCTGGAAGATAGATTTATTTCAGTTGCCAATGTAGATTACGTAGGCATTAACTTTGACTTGATCAATGTTTATGCAAAATTCGCACTCCCTCTGGAAGACATACTGACAAAATTGCAGCTGGTAGTACGGAAGCTGAGTAAGAACATCTTAATAATGGGCGATTTTAATGCTCACTCAATTTTGTGGGGCAGCCGAAGAACCGATAGAAAAGGCGTACTGCTGGAGGATTTTGCTGCAAGGAATGGCCTAACCATTGTAAATGATCCAACGGCCTTGCCAACGTTTTCGGGATCCAGCGGAGAATCATTTATCGATATAACTCTGGCATCACCTGGCATTGGCCAGCTTATTAGCTTTTGGAAAGTCGAGGATTGGACCTGCAGTGATCACCGGGTGGTTTTATTTGAAATAAACCTAAACAATCGAGAAAAGCGATACCATAAGAAACGTTTTGTGACGGAGGGAGCTGAGTGGGAGCGTGTTGCTGAAAATATTGCATGGCACCTAACAGAGCTGGAGCAACACCATCATATGGAATTAGAAAAAGAGGCAGCGAACATTTCAACAGAAATTTTCACAGCGGTTAAGGAGGTGTTGCCCATAACACGAGAGTCAATAAGAAATGGACAAGTATGGTGGAACACACAACTCACAAGCCTGAAGCGGGAGACCTACAGAGCAAGACGCCGATTTCAGCGAGAAAACGATGCCGTTACCAAAAGAAATGTCAAAAAAGCATATTACGAACTTAATAAGAGTTTCCAAAAGGCAATAGGAAAAGCAAAGAAAGAGACATGGCACCGATACCTAGACCAATGCAAAAGCCCTTGGGGACTAGCTTATCGGAGAGCCCTTGATAAAATCTCAAATAGAAACTCCTTCACATCGTTTATGCACAATGGGGATTCAACCAGAACGGCAGATGAGGTTGTTAATGCTATAATGGTGAGATCTTTCCCTGAAGACGAACTAACTTCAGACACAGAAAACCATGCTCACAAAAGAATTACAATGTGTGAACTTCCGCAAACCGACGATGCGCTTCCATGGGAAGAGGAAGACGTGGGGTTGGCTATGGGACAACTCCGATCGGGAAAGGCACCAGGACCGGATATGATAGGAGCCGATATCCTTAGAAATACAAAAAACGCACTGATTAAGCCTTTAACTACGTTCTACAACCGATGCTTGAATAAAGGCATTTTCCCCTGTATCTGGAAACAGGCTGAGCTGGTTACTATCTTGAAGCCCGGTATAACAGAAGTCACTGCTAAATCTTACCGCCCAATATGCCTCCTAAATGTAATGGGGAAAGTTTTGGAAAGCCTAATGCTGCAACGCCTAAAAGACGTAATCGACTTGCTCTCTCCTGATCAATTCGGAGGTCGAAAAGGACAGTCAACAACGGATGCCATCAACCAGCTCATATCAACAGCTAAGGACTCGCCCTCTAAATATTTTGTAGTCCTCTTTTATGATGTTGCTGGCGCGTTCGATAATATGTGGTGGCCTGCTATTATGGACGAGCTAAAGAAACTGAAATGCCCCAGAAATATATACAGGCTCATATTATCATTTTTATCCAAGCGCTCTGTCTTCTATCGACTTCCGGGAAGGAGAATAACGAGGCCAGTCCAGAGGGGTTGTGCTCAGGGATCAGTTTTGGGACTCCCCCTATGGAATATCAACATGAACCCTCTCCTTGTTAAATTGAGAGCTGCCGGGTATACGCCATCTGCTTACGTGGACGATTTTGCTGTTGGAATAGAGGCAAAATCACGACAAGATTTGGAAATAAGGGCAGCGGAAGTCACTGACATAGTCTTGCAATGGTGCCGAGATAATAAACTCTCTTTAAATGTTCAGAAGACTCGACTCCTGTTTTTGAAGGGAAAAATGGTAGGGTTTCTCCCCAGAGTAAAGTTAGGAGATGTCCTAATAAAACCATCTCAGGAAGTGAAGTTCTTAGGAGTCCTATTGGGCGAGAGGTGTAACTTCACTAACCACCTAAAAGAAATTAAGAGCAAAACTATTGTCCGTTACAGTTGCCTTAAAACGATGGCAGGAACCACCTGGGGTCTCAAATATAGTTACCGGGAAACGCTATATAAGGCTTCTTTCTTGCCTATTGCATTATATGCGGCGCCGGTCTGGGGCCAGAAACTGAGACAGTCAGACATCAGATTGCTGGAGCAAGCTCAAAGAAGATCTCTCCTACTGGTGACAGGAGCGTATAGAACGGCACCCACTTCGGCTTTGCAAGTGATTACAGGACAACTGCCTATAGACCTGAAAATACAAATATCTATAGCCAAATATAGAATAAAGAGAGGAGTGCCAGCAAATGTGGGAACAAGCTGTTTTGTGTGCCCTAGTGGAAGGTACGACGAGGTAGCCGACAGAATAGAAGAACTAGTCCTTTCTGAATGGCAGAGAAGGTGGGATGCATGCGAGACTGGAAGACTGACCCATGAATTCTTCCCAGATGTCAGGAGAAGAATCAAGAATGACTGGGTGGAGACGGATTTCTGGACTGTTCAACTCCTCACAGGCCATGGAGATATAAATGAAAAATTACATTTTTTTCATAGAAGAGCCAGTCCGAATTGTCACTGCGGGGCTGTTGAGGACGCTAGACACATAATTTTGGAATGTCCAATGTACACTGGCGCCCGACAAGCATTGGCAGGAGAGTACTCCATGTTGGAATGGCCTCCTCGGTCCCTGGACAAGCTTGTGGAGACACCTGAGATATTTGATGCCTTTAAGAAATACGCCAGGAGGATATTCCATGAAAAAATAGCAAGAGAGGAAAGATTAAACCGGTGATATACCAAATACATAAATTTATTTTTATCATAAGATTTAGAAATAGTATATATAAACTTAGTAATAGGCCCACAATAAGTAGGTAGGAAGTTACTGGAGTGCTGTTTGGTGGGAACAGCCCTCCAGTTGCAGGCAACCCATTAGTGTAGGTTTACCCGTGATAATTAATGCCCCAATCAAACTAAAAGACCGAATTTTGCCTCACTTTGACCCAAGAATTTGGATCAAAGTGAGAGCAGACCTGCCCGCTTGGTTACCAATCCTGGTAACCGAGCCCTTTAAATTCGTGGCATATTTTTCAGTTAGAAAATTGGATGTACCGCTGGTATAGGGTTGCCCTAAGGTACAGCGGGGGGAAAGAAGGAAAAAAAAAAAAAAAAAAAAAAAAAAAAAAAAAAAAAAAAGAGAGAGAGAGAGAGAGAGAGAGAGAGAGAGAGAGAGAGAGAGAGAGAGAGAGAGAGAGAGAGAGAGAGAGAGAGGAGAGAGAGAGAGAGAGAGAGAGAGAGAGAGAGAGGAGAGAGAGAGAGAGAGAGAGAGAGAGAGAGAGAGAGAGAGAGAGAGAGAGAGAGAGAGACGGCTTAGGCGATCCGGTCAGCAGCGGCATCGAGAAAGAGGCGACAAATCGACAGGCATGATACTGCTCCCTTATCAGATTGTATTATTACAATAATTATAATTAATTAACCCACTAAAATTAATTATCCCTTCATAGATCTTATTTGGAAATAATAAAATAAAAGGAAATTAACAAAATAAACAGTGATGACATTCATAGATATTTCTACAACAAACTTATCATTTTTTATTTCACAAGAAAAGGGCTCCCGCTGATATAGCATGTACCGGTTCCCTTCCCTCATTATTGTACAATAATCAATATATTAAAGATCGAAAACAGTGATATTATGCCACTCCATAAAATATACAATGGTCCAAAATATAAACTTTTATATTTTTTTTATGTCCCATAACTTTCCAGTATCCACCAAGTACTCTTGCTTCTACTTAACATTGCTTGACGGCCTTATAATATAATAAGTCTGACACAAAAGAGATTCTTTTGATAAAAAATTGCTGTTTTTTTTTTTATATAAGGACGATGGTTTAGCTGACATTTCCTTTACCTGCTCAACGCTAAAACCTGAAACCTTGATCTAAACCAAGAATCCTTTGAGATCTGTCCAGAGTACATTACAGATTTCCACAAATTATGGAAAAAAGGAAAATTATCTTTTATAGTTGTAATTTGAATTCATTTCCATATTTTTATTATATTAGTCTTGGATAACAAAAGTTAAGATCTATAAAAAAAAAAAAAAAAAAAATTAATTTAAGAAAAAGAATAAATTTTATCAGATTCAATTGCAATAATACATTGCAGATGGAAGCTAAATTTACATAAATAAGCCTTTACTTTTGAAGAAAGATAAAATCATTTTTGATATGCATAAACGGTTTTGTGTTTCCTAGAGGAAGATCTCTTGAAGGTCTTATCTTTCTAATAAAAAATCCGTTTGACCGGAACGAATGAAAAGCAAGACAGTAAGTAAGAGGAAATATTTTATCAAATTTTATGATACGTCCCTGACGCAAGGCCATATCGAACGCTCAAGCAGTATCCAGAAATACTTAAGAAGAAAAAGATCACTGATTTATAAAATATATAAACTCTACCTACATCTCTGACAATCATCGCCGAGAGCTAAAAAGAAACTGCACGAGAGATCTTCCTGAATAATAACGTAATACAAATAATGAAAAATAATAATGAATAAGCGATATCGCAGTAACAGTCCGGACAACATGACAACATTTGAAGATAAAGAGATGTACATCTGAATAAACCATGACATCCTGCATGTAATACAGCTTTCCTTGGAAGCAACCAAGAGGGCAAAAAAACTTACTAATATGAGAAAAGCAGAGCGAATCGAACAAGTATATGAAGTTAAAACAAAATATATGATAATAAGCCGAAAAGTCCAACCCAATAACAGGAGCTGATAAAAATGTAATCGTTCCAGAGAGTTAATAAGTTCTAATGAGTCGGTTCCACAATAACCTCAATGAATAACCAACGGTCGAAAATAGTTCAGCTTACAACGATCTCAGCGCTTTCTTATCTCTCTCGTATTGATATCCTAAAAATCTCTAGAAATCTCAAATTAAGGCTGTACAATATAATGATAAGGCCAGTTATAATATATATAGCTGCAAAATGTGAAAAAAAAAAACGCTATAGAAAGAAGTATTCCTCGGTACAGGCCTCTTTTTATCAAATTATTAACATCCGTCTGAAACTTCGGGAATAGCTTCATCTTATCATAACGTAAAATTATTCTTTTGTTTTTTTATTATCGAAATTTACAACTGTAAATGATAAATACAACAAGTAAATATGAAACAAGTAACATGACATCTACAACATAAAGAGAAACTATCCATTGGTAGCACTTCAATTATATTTCTATATTAGAAGGTCCCGAGGCCATCCTCTTTTCAGATCCCTCGCAGTGTTATCAGGAATAGAAGAGGAAGCAAGGTTAGAAACAAGAGGGTTCAGATGGTACACTAAGGTCGTTATGGATGACTTTATTTGTGAAAAAGTAGGGAGCATTGAGGATTTTACGAAGGATTTGATACGAGAAGAATGTGATGGTAATAGGCCTTATAATGGTAATATATATGAGTCTTTTGCAAATAGTTGGAAATTAAGAGCGTTTTTATAGTAAGTGCTGCACTATGTCGAGCTGTTTCTAGTCGTTTCAGCCTGGTATGAGGGTAAAACTATTTTATTTACGAAAACTTTCGCAATTGGGGCGTATTCGATTTGAAGACCGGCAAACCTTTTCTACTTAATTGGGTATTTAAAACACGTAAATACCCATACGCTTCCCACTTGGACCGAAATATAATTTGATAAAAAAATCAAAAATCTAGTTTTGTCCATTTGCCATTACATTACATTACATACTTAAACATAATTACATACATACTTTTTTTATAAATCACAAGGTATCTATTTTCAACATGTATATTATACTGTACATATTATATGTATATATTATACTGTACATCTTAAGGCCTTTCAATTAAATATTGAATAACAGTTTATACCCGGTCACGATAAACGAGAATAACGTCGTGACTTTGTTTCAGAAACAGAAGCTGGGTTTATCTCATACCGGTGGGATATCGCGCCACATGGTTTCGATTGGGAAAGTTTTCGACCAATCTTGATAATCCTTCTATTGAATGAGATTGTTCTGTTCTTTTCATCATACGAGTTAGATAGCTGCGTAATTGGCGATTGCCATATTTTGATAATAATAAGTCAAAAGGAAATAGTAAAAGAAATCTATGGATAAAATGTAATCCTAGAGACAGGTTCAACCTGTCCAATACATCTTTATTCGGTTAAAGTTTTCTTCTGGCATTACTGTAAACTAATTCTACCAAAATCGAATAAATTATTGCAAAAATAAACTTACCAAAGTATAAATAATAACAAATAATGAAATAAAATATGCAATAATTTGAAGAGATTGCATACGTACTATAACGTTTTAAAAAGAAAACAAAAAACTGCGCTTAAGACCGCATTGTAGAACTGAAAACATCAACACGATATTAATAATATGAAATATATAATTTTTTTTGTTCTAAATTCACAAAATAAAAATATATACAATATATACAATTCTGTATAAATAGCCCGTGGTATATCTTTTTTTTTTATCATTATCAAATTATTAAGATACTTCTGAAATATCGTTTACAACTTTTTCCCATCGTAACCTACAACTATTTTATTTACGAAAATTCTCGGTATTAGGGCGCTTTCAATTTGGAGATTGGCAAACTTTTTCTATTTAATTAGGTACGAAAAACTCACTCAAGCAAATACCCATTTGCTTTCCGATTGAATCGTAACATAGTTCGCAAAAAAAAGGTGGCCTTTAAAAACGTTGGGCCATTTGGCTTTTATTCCATCTCTAATATGTTAAAATAACGAGGCTACATAGGCCGAAAATCCCAATATTTATGTAGCATTTTCGCAAGATTTTTTGATAAAATTATCTTACGATCCAAGTGGAAAGGAAATGGGTATTTACCAGATTTTAATATTTAATTAAATACACGAATTTCGCCGACCTCCAGATTGAAAACACTAAATTCCAAGAGTTATCGTAAATAGGTTACGACGATATAAAGCTTTTACGTAGTTTCAGGCGGATGTTAATAATTTGATAAAAAGAGTTCTGTACCACGGACTAAAACTATTGTTTGCTTTATATTCACAAAGTAATAACATTAAAAATATATGCAATTATAATTGTTTATAAATATTTATATATTCTCATACCAATTAGTATGAGACATTTATGCAGTATTGGTACTTAAAAGTAAAACATCTGTAATGGAAATCAGTAATTTGTCGAAACACTGCCAAGTCCTCGAAAAGAAAATCCAATAGAAACACAATTTCATATTTTTATTGCTAGTTAAAAAAATATATCTATACTGAATTTGACAAAATTTTTTTTGAATTTTCTATGGTGTTTAAATTTTTTATTACATTTCACAGATGCAAGAACCAATTTTACTAACTTTGAACAAGTAGGAAAAAAAAAAAAATGTTTTCAGTACTACTATAGTTCCTAATGTTGCCCTATCTGTTGCAATACTAACACCAAGATTGGCAAAAAAAAAATCGATTTTTTGAATAAAAATTGAGTCAAAATAGTTACTAATACTTGACAAGTTTAGTTACTATATATAAAGAATTGGTGTAAACGATATACTTTTGCATTT